TTGGGACTTTCTCGCGGGACGCGGGACACGAGCCTTCAATGCGGGACAGTCCCGCGAGTCGCGGGACGGGTGGCTGTTGCTGGCTACATCTACAAAACTGTCTAGATTTAGATAGCAAAAATAAAAAAAGCAGAGGAAAGATTGTATTTAATTTTTTGAAAAAAATTAACTGTGTTTTGTATTATCCCGTCATGTAATGCCACCTCAGGAACACTTAAGGTATAAAAAATGAAATGAAACGAAATGAAAGATGGGGGAAAACGACACATTCAATTAGCACAACTCTGGGAGTAAGCCTTAGAAACGAGACAAAGAGATCGATAAGATACTGGTGGCGAACATCAGAGGGAATTAGCAGTGCACAAGCCAATATACAACTACAAAAAAAAAAGAGTCGGGCTTTATGGGGACCGTGATTAATTTCCCCTTTCATGAGGAGAATGAAGATACATATATTAGATGCATGTTATCGAGAAGTAGGCGTATCAAACACCAAAATCATTGTTTTTCTTCCGACAACCTAATGTAGAAGGAACTACTTCGCGCAGCGCATGAAGAATGCGCGGGGCGCCGATTGGACACGAGTGCAGCGTCAGCGTTCGGCTCGGACTCGTGTCAAATCAGCGGGAACACGAGCCCCAGCCGAACGCTGACGCTGCAATCGTGTCCAATTTGTGCCCCATGCTTGACTTCAATAAATAACTGTGCAAAAAAAAAAAAAAAAAAAAAAAAAAAAAAAAAAAACAACGGTCTGAGGACATTTTTTGCGAGTTATGAATGCGAAAGCGTCAATGTCGTACTTCCGCTCCTTTCGTTCGTTTGCGGCGTAGTGGCATGGACGGCCACGTTTCGACGGCCGAGCGCGCGCTCTCGTCAAGTGGTCGCGACGCGCCGAGCTCGGCCGTGCACCCCCTCCGGAGTTTGCCCGGGCGGGCTGTGCGGCCAGGCCCGCACCGCCGCACATTTTACCGGCGACCAAGCCGCTGCGCCGCCATAGGGAAGGCCTCCGGTGGCGTTTTTATTTATTTTTTTTTTTTTTTTTGGAACTACGCCGCACGAAAGCCAATGGGAGCCTATCCATCAGATTTCTGCTACAGACGACATTGGGACAGGCAGGGGAAGGGGCCGTTTGGCGCGGCTTCAAAGCTGATGACGTCGGTTCGCTCCATATGAGACAGCTAATGCTTTCGCATTAAAAACTAAGTTTAATCTTTACCTTTGCCCGTTTCGATCTGGATGAGCATCGTACCGGCGTGCGGTCGTGGTTCACTACTGCGTGGAGCACGTTGAAAACCCCAGGCTAGCGGTTGTACTGCACTGGTTAAATTGCTCATCTACAGCTGAGAGACAAGTCGCCCGTTGAGGCAGACCACTTTTTTTTCCAATAAAAAAGAAAGAAAAAAAGGAGCAAACTTTGCGCATTATTTACGCGCAAATGAAGAGTAAGAGGAAAGAGGGGAAGAAAGATTAGAAAAGTCTGACAGTGTGCTAGCGAGCGAAGAGAGACAGACACGCCAACCGAAACGCTGAGGGGAGAGAGTAACAATGAGAAGTATCAAACAAGATAAAAATAAAAACAAGAAAAAAGGTACCGCAAAAAAAATTATTCCATGGAGAAACAGTGAAGATAGAAAAAGAAAATGGAAAAGCGAAGAATATAGAGGGGAAACTGAGAGGAGGAAAGAATGACTGACAGAAATCTGAAGTACTGAGATGAGAGAATAAACAGGAAGTAAAACAAAGGGTAAAAAGCGAAGACCAATATACGAAAGATGACTGACAACAAAAAAAAATGAAGAGAAAAAAAGATGAGGTTTTAGAAAATGATAGAAGGAAGGAGAGCAGAGAGATAACTTAAAAAAAAAAAACGGGAAGAAAAAGAACAAGACATAAAGGCATTGCATGAAAGGTGTAGAATAGCAACGCAATTGCAAAGAAAGAGCAGGAAGGCGACACACATACAAGATACCAAGATTCTCGCGTTTAAATTTGTCGTCGCCACAACTCTCCCGAGCAGAAAGTTGCGCGGTTATGGCGACTAGGGGTGTCGCGAACTTTTGTCGAACCAGATTTTTTGGTCGAACTTCAGGGGTTCGACTGAGTCGAACCGGTTCGACGAACCTTCGAAATTTTCACCAGATTCGACCGGTTCGACTTTATGGACAGTGTGGCCAGACCTCAGTACAAGCATGTCTAGGTTTGGAGAATTTTTTTTTTATGCAAGGGGTTATTTTATTTTGTGAACAGCTGCAATTAAAAGAAACTAATTCTCATCACTGAAGAAGTTAATAACTTAATTTTTAGTACTGTATTAACTGAAATAGCCAATCAGCGCTGCACTTAATTCATCTCTTAGCCATTACCATCCAATCCGAAGCCAAAACCTGCACAGACTGGAACCACCTCCCCGCCTCCATCGCTTCAATCACCGACAGCGACCGTTTCAAAAGCGCCATTTGCAACCATTTTTTGTAATCTCCCTGCTGTGTTTATGTTCATGTTGTATTATTATTATTTTTTTTTTTGCTTCACCACTCCTCTCTGTAATGCTTCGGCCTTGAGAGTAAATAAATGAAATGAAATGAAATGAAATGAAGTGGCCAGCCTGTCGCGCATGCGCACACGAGTCGAACCTCAATACAAGGTTCGTCGAACTTTCCACTAAAAGTTCGAAAAAGTCGAACCTGGTCGAACTCGAACCGCGACCGGTTCGCGACACCCCTAATGGCGACGTGCGCGACCGAAAGCGTCGCGGTGGTCGGCCTTCCACGATTGGCCGAATGCTGACTATGATGTCAGCAAAGGAGTTCTCATAAACGGATATAAGAGGAACGTGAGGACTTCAATTTTGACGGTGTTGACAGTGTTGGTTCAAGAACGCTATGATTTCAAGCTTCCGCCATGCTAATACAAACACCTTCGGACTTGATGTTTGCAAGGTAATGACGTCACGAAAGGCAACCGTACGAGGGCGCCACCGAAACATCTCGCCGCTAATAGTAAGTTACAGGTCAAGAAGGTAGCGGCAAACGCCCCTCCAGGGGATTCAGATATCCCTCCGCCACCTCCGCATCCAATAGCGTCCCATCGTTTCCGTGACGTCGTGACTAACGCGGGAGAGGGTCTTGCCTTCCTGTAAATATTTGCTTTATCTTTCGACTTTGACTTAGCATTGTGGAAGCCACGAGAGGGAGATCAGAGTTTTCCCCTCCGATGGAAGCAAATACGACTTCGGGGGGTTAGGTTCCCCCTCCTATGAATACAAAGGCAACTCTCAGGGGCTCGGTTCCCTCCCCGTTCCCTCCCCGATGAATGCAAAGGTCGCTTTCTTAAAAATTGGGGGTCGGAGACAAGTTGGCCGATATCTATTCATTGAAGCAGAACAAGGGGCGCCTCCAGTGAACTCTTCTTTTGACTGCGGATGAATTTGAAACGGGCGCATCACGCTTGTGGGAGGAGCTTCTCCTACTTTCTTGACTCATAGAACACTCCTTTTTTTTTTTTTTAACGCAGCTGTTGCTCGTGGCTACGACGCCGTGCCGGCTCAGTGAATGGTATTATATGCAGCACACAACTTAATTTTGGCCAGGACCTAAATTTTGCAAACTTAGCGACTTCAAAAATACCAGGAAAAATTTATCACACGGATATATCACCTCCGATATCAAATGCATAGCTCCAAATCGCAAAATATTGTGTGCGTGAATTCGCGAAAATAAAGTCGTCTACAGTATGCAGTTATTGAGAAAAAACCGCAGACACCATTGCGTGGATAACATTGCTTCTCTCTGGTCTGCACACGCAAGCTTTCCGCTTTGTCCGAAAGCTTAGAATCCACTATTTTTAAAACACCTGGCTCCACCTGGCAGCAAACTGGCTTTGAGGATTCCCAGGATGAAACCATGTGCGCGCTGTGCACGGGGAAAGATAAAGCATCATCATCTTTGGGTAACCGGACAAAAGTTCACCGGACAGAAGCTCACCGGACATAAGCTCACCGGACAAAAGCTCACCCGTTTTGCACAGACCCGGACAAAAGCTCACCTAATTATTTTTTTGGCTACCAGGGCGAATCAAGGGCTGGGATAAAGTGCGGACGCGATGAACATTGCACCATTTTCAGGAAAACTGCTACCCCCCATCCCATGCAAAGGTGTCGACAGATAAGCCATAACAGGCGGAGAAGCAACGATTTTAGAAAGAAATAATAGGTCACCGAAATTGAGTGGAGCTGATAAGTCTCTTCATAACTAATGAATGGGTTTGTTGGGGTTTCAGGTTAATATTTGAAGTGGGTGAATGGTTAAGAAAATTATATTGTTTCCTTTATTCTGCGTTGTAAATGTATTTGAAATTAAGGATTATCTGAGGGTGATGTGGGAGGGAAACTGAAGCCAAACTGTATTATACAAATCATTGAGTTGCCAATTTTTTAAAAAATATTTTTAAGAAACGGGAGTTGGGTCTTTAGGACAAGTACAAGACAATTGACCACTTTGGGAAGCTGTGCGGAATTTTTGGATAGGATGGAATTTTCTCCTGGTGAGCTTTTGTCCGGGATTCCATCTTTGAACGAACTTTGGGGCAAAACATAAGCCATAAAGGGCACAAAAGTAACATGAAGAGAGCCCAAAATTAAGCGACTGCGGCTTAGTAGAGCCAGAATGACCTAGCTTCCTTGGTTCAGCGAAAGCCCGCGCTCTCTTGAGTAGGTGCTCACATATTTTCATACGAAAACCTCCAGAACCACCGATTTCTGAAAATGGTCGATTGCCCGAGATGGCAAGACAGGACAATAGTATTATGTCTATGTGGGAAACACATGTACAGGACACTCCAAAACGCACGACTCCGACAAATCGTGAAAATTGAAGCGGGCGCGTCCGCTTCAATTTTCACGATTTGTCGGAGTCGTGTGTTTTGTAGTGTCCTGTTTGGACACCCCATTATACAAATTCAGAACACACACACACAAAAAAAGGAGTAAAGTTGATACATACCCTGCTTTGTTATCGTCCTGCCTTCTGTGCTTTCTGAAATCACAACATACTAAACCAACACAAACAGCTTCTGTTCATAGGTACTCCTTCATGTTCCGTGTGCCTGACTGCCGTAACGCGTCGAAATGACTGTGGGTACGCTACATGTTTTCGGAATGGTCAATTCTTGTTAGGGCGATAGACAACAATACATTTGAAATTGGCATGAAGTTCCACTGCTGGTCACGTGCCTTGAGCAAAGAGGCAACACGCAGGGACATTGGCGGGGAAATGGGCGACGCTGTACAAGGGTGCAAGAATCCGAAGATCCAAAGCTTCAACTGAGACCTGAAAAAGAGAAAAAGTAAAACTAGTACAACATAACTGAGCCCCAGTCTTTCATAAAATGAACTGCAGGTTTAAGAAGAAGGGAGGAACGAAATGTTGTTTGCAACAAAGACAATTTAAGGTGCTGGATCCTTATCGCCATACGCTACCATAAAATACCCCAGAAAGGCCCACTCCATTTGAGAGCCCACTATTAGCATTTCCCAAAATTGGGAATTCTGCAAATTCTACGTTAAGTGCCCGATTTTATCGAACAAGTGCTCATATCAAGATTAACTTAGTCTTCAGTGAAAGTGCGAAGGCACTTCTCTGATATTTTCCGGTAATTAAATATAAGCGAATTTCACAGAAACAAAAAACTTAAAAAATGCAAAACTCCCAATGGTTCTGTAGCAAGCATGGCACTTCACACAAACTGTCTCACTGAATAATGACCACTAAAAATTTCAGTGGACTGATGCAAGTTGTCTCATTGAAGCTAAACAAGAAAAATGGGGGGAAGTTTTATGTGCCAAACCAACAAAGGGCATCTGGCACGCCCCAGCAGAGGACTAGGGATTAATTTCCACCACCTGGGGATCTTTTCGCATGCAACCGAAACCTCGGCTAAACAGTGCCTCCTCCCCAGTAAGCCTCCGTCAGACTGCGGGCACCTCGGCCGGGATTCGAACCCGCCACCTGGGGATCCGTAGGTCGGCACTTTGCCTAGTAGCCACCAATGCGGCTACATTCAAGCTAGAAATATAGTATGCTTTGCTAGCAACTACCGTAAAATCCCGAGAGATGCCCCACCCCCGAAAGATAGCCCACCCCTATTTTCAGTTTGATCTGCTATATTTTTTTTAAACGCTGAAAGCTTGCCCACTCTTAGTAGTAGTAGCGTTGGGATCAATAATGGCCTCGGCGTAAATGTGGCTGGTTCGCTATGGTGGGATATAAGCGAACATTGCTGACTTGGAAGTACAGTCATCTTTGCTTCGTTGCCCCCTGCCTCCATAACAAGCTTGGAAGTGGCACAACCTAAAAATAGCAGTTTTTTTAAAAACTTTTCTTGATTGTACACTGAAAGTTAGCCCACTCCATGTTCTCAGCCGATTTGCTCTTAATGTTGGGTGGGCTCTCTCTCGGGATTTTACGGTAGGTGCAAGTCCCATATTTAAACCTTTCATGAGCAGAACACGTGCACGTCTCTGCAGAAATTACATTTTTGTGCATCAATGTTATAATGCTTAGTTGTTCACAAATTGCAAAAATGTACTTGCTCTAGTTGTCGCGGGGAAGTACATGCAAGGGCTTTATTTGTAAAGAAAGTCGAGCTATTTTAGAGTCAACATGGTGTTATTATCCTCAGTAACGTACATCGTCTGCAGCAATTAGCAAATTTGGAAGTCCTCAGAAGGAGTTGCACGTGAGAAATGTTAACGCAGTGCCTCTTTAAGTTATACCGGACCAGGAAGCAAGCTAGACAGCAACAGAGTAATCTCTCAGATATTAACATTTCACTAAGTGCAGAGACTCGAGAACATGTGGCACACGTATAATGTGTACACAGTGCCCACTTGTCCCATCTTGTCAGCATGAAAAAATTGCCACTAGGGTGCCCAATGAGTTACAAAAACAGCTGCGCATACCAAATGTCACCGTGGCAGTAAAGCTGCCAAAATTGTATTTCCCGGCGACGAAGTGACACCAGCCCAAGAATAAAGCGCTTGCACGTTCAAGGATGCCTATATACAAAGCTGCATTCTAGCTGAATTTTCAAGCGAGCCAAAAAGGGATACAGGTGCAAATGAGACACGTTCTAAAGGAACATGCCCGTTATTGGACGGCTCCACATGCCTCCGGTCACCAACTTAAGTGCACAGAGCACCTCATGAGTTGCGTGCAGCACTGCCAAAGGCAGAGAGGTAAGAAATTGTAGGGCTGTTTTGATGTACGCTAGTGTCAACCCCAAAACTTTGTATACCTTGAAATCGGCATGATTCATTCTCTCTCACCATTAGGAGCTTACAACGTACAAAAAAGAAATCAAGCACAAAAGGAGGCCATCACATACTCTGTTTTGCTTTCCTTCTGCCTTCTCTACATTTCGAGATCACAAAATGTTAAACCAACGTCAACTTTCTCTCCGATTCTTGGATAATGTCACGTGCCGCACATCGGAAAGTCACAAAGCATAAAGCAGACAATGAGGGCGCCACATATTGTGTCATGGCATGCAACTCTTGACGTGGGAGTAGCCACAACTCCAACCGCATGCATTTGTTCCACATTCTTCTATTTCTTGCTTCCACCACCAGATTCAGCTAGTCTTTGGTGCGCATCTGAAGAGGGACGACCTCCCAGTTTCTCTCCTTCACCTGTTTTCTGCTAGGAGGAGTCACCTTCTGCAAACTTAAAAACACTAGCTGGGTGTCATGGCTCAATTAAAAGGGTTCAGCCATATGCATCCATTCATCCTCGTGAACAGGGTTCCAACAAAAACAAGAACAGCCTGGGGAACGATCTGGGCCACAACCGAAATCCACGAAAGTCGAGAGGCGTGCCAATGTTTTTTGAAAAGCTAGAAAAAGACTGCTCCCGCAAACTCACCGAGGTAGTCGTCCATGAGGGTTCCAATGGCAAACTGTGAAGGAAAAAATAAAACAAAAATTAAGAATCACTGTGCTCTACTACTGCAAAATTCCAAATGCAAACCCACTCGCAGTGGAGACATACTATATGAGAAAAGATCAGGTGGGCAATCTTTTACGACATGGCGATGCAAATTAGTGCAAAAACGAGCAACCGACAAGCCGGCACTCACTACAAACTCGCACGTTATGGCCAGCAATGCAGAGAGCAAGTCGTCTTGCTTCTCGCACAGGAGTTGTGGTGACGTCAGAATGATGCCAAGTCCTGATTGGCTTTGATTGAAAGGATAGTGGGTAGACTCCAATGCTAGATACCTTGAGGTCTACCCACTATTTTTTACAATCAGCCAATAAGAGCTCTGTGTTCTGACATCATTGCAAACCCTGTGCAAGAAGCAGACGAACTTGCACTCCGCATAGAGCAGACACAGCAAACTCGCATTCCACAGTATTGCTTCTTGACCTATTGCATGCGATTCCATCGATGTGCGAAGAAAACTTTCCGTGTGGGTAACGTCAATCTTGACATCTGTATGTACAGCCCATGCAGCAGTTGACGCTGTATTTACTATCAATGAGTGCACTTGCATAATAAATTAGCCCCCAGAATAGTGGTCAAAATTTCTAGTTGTTTTTCCCGTACGTTACAAATGGGATCCTAATTTCGGCTCCACGAGCATCGAACTCCATTTGCTTCATCACTAGTTTGTGCGCAGGTTTGGTGAGGTCGCAAGAAGAAGCGAGGGTTCGCCCCGTTTACAGTTCCGCAATTTTGCAATGACATGAAAATCATTTTCCTCAGATGGTTCGATGGTGCCGCAGTTTCCCGATGGGCTGCTAAGCGGGTTACACGTGCAGTTATAAGCTGCAAGTTGTCGAGTGTGCCATTCAATGCAGAAACTACGCCGCTGAAAGACATTTTGGTGTTGACAAAGTTTATGTGTGCTACTGGAGAACTCGGTTCAAAAAGCAAAAGGCTACAAAGAAAACATGTCACTGTCATGCCTTCCAAGGATCAAAGGATGGAAAGTTTCCACGCGTTGAGGAGAAAGTCTTCGGGCATGTCAGGAATCTCGAGAAAGAGGCTTGTGCCGCGCCACATGGGTTGATACAGAATCACACACGAGCCAACATGAGGACACATCGCATCTCGTCACAGGAATTTAGAGCCACTAAAGGCTGCAACTCCCCTTTTACGCAACGAAATGGACCCTGCCTGAGAAGCTGAGCGACGCTGCGTTAGCGGCCGCTTTCTGGCTTCGAGGACAGACTTTCACCAGTTTCTTACGAGGCTCTACGAAGAGAAAAACATTGTCTTCTCTCAGACTGGTAAATGGATCAGATTCCTCTCAACCTCCACAGGCCGAGAAACACGACGGTGGAGGAGAAAGGCAAACATGGCGCGAACATCAAAACAACAAGTGTCGAAAAACGAAGGCTCACCACGATGCCATCGGTAATGACCGACAACCGCAAGCTGCCTCCGTAAATTATCCTCGAAAGGAAGACGCTTCTTAAAGGCAAGTTTCTGATTGGCATCCACATCCACGTTCGAGAAAGAGGGTAGGTGTCAATTGGACTTACGAGCGAGTGAACACAACAGCATGCAGTGGGCGTGGAAGAAGTGATGCGTATCTTCGCAACAAATGATCAACGAAGAAGTCTACAGCGCTGAACAGGAACTTTTGTACATCACCTGTTTTGTTGGGTGCCTCTTAGCAAGAGCTTTGCCACACCGTGTAGGCGCCTGCAAAGTGCGCCTGCTGCCGTAACCTTATCAGTCGCATCTGATTAAATCGAATGGTGCTATATTGAATTATTCCCTTCATTGAACCCTCGTTGAATTTCAGTAAAAATCTACACATTTTTAGCTTTTTATATCGAACGTGATCGGACTTGTAACGAAAATTACATGAGGACGCTTAAGCTTTACCTTCAAGAGTGGAACAAGATAGCTAAATTGCATCAGAATTAATTGGGGGGCTAGTTGGTTGAACATCTAGACGGTGGTTTTGAAAGCGCAAAAGACTGAGAAGAGAAGGAAAGAAAGCGCTCTGTCCTGTCCCCTCCTTCTCTTCTCAGTCTTTTGCGCTTTCAAAACCATCGTCTAGAGATAGCTAAACACATAAACTCCCGCTCGTCCCCAAGCTGTGCAAGTGTGTCTGCGTGAGCTGTACTCCATTACACAATAACTTGGCAAACTGTGGAGGCTGCCAAAGTGCGACGCAATAGGGGTGCCGGAGCAAAGCACGTGATTACACCCCATGGTTGACTCAAGGCCACCGGGGCCTCGTTACCACAACAGCAACAGAGCCCTCCGCGACAAAAACTAGTTCTAGGCTCGTTTCTTTTAACGACAATTGAACTCGCACGATTCCATCCATAACAAGAAGATATGACGAATAAAAAATAAATAATCACAAATTTATGAGTTTCAATTACATTTAAACCATAAAAGTAACACCACATCCATATCCGCTCGATTTATTTTGCCTTCTAGCGCAGTGGCCGTTGGCGATTGCAGCCGTGTAATCGGCTGTTTCCACTTAAAACACTGCACTGTGCTCTGGCATCATCACCCGTCACAGATTTGCGGCTAAACTGAGCTTATGCTTTTCTCAGGAACTGTTCCCAAAGTGCTCACTATTCTAGCAAACAAATATGTTGCTGCGGCGGAAATTCATCCAAAGTTGCTTGGTTTTGGAGCAGACGACTCTTGGCTAGCAGACGACAGCCGGTTCCTTTGGGTCTCGCGCCTCGCATTTGGCGCGGTGACACAAATGCTCCCGTGACGTCGGGGCATCTGCCGTGCTCCGAAGCTCTTATTGGGTCGCGGGGCCCTAGCCTCCACAGTTCGCCAAGTTATCGTGAAACTGAGTATAGTCGCTAGTGTGTCTGGCTCCTGACCAAAGAATCGGGGGTTTAAATCCCGCCTCCGCCTAAAATTTTTCAAATTTCTTTTTCGAAGCTAATGAATTACTTTTTAAACAAAAATCATTTGAGACATACGGCGACCTTTAATTCGCATTACATGTCATGTTGCAATCACTTTCATTCCAAGCACGACGTCACGTTTCCCGAGAGCACTGTGGGTTGTTTAAAATTCCCAAGCGAGCTCATGTGGTTGTGATCTCACGACCCATTCGACCAGTAAAAATTTTTCCGTCCTGCCGACGCCGGGCTTTTTGCAACACGCGCTCCTAAACGCTACTGCGTTAATATATCGAACTCTCCCGTGCCAAACTGCGCGTGCTCCAGGGGCACGGGTGGGCTTTTCCACAATGCGCCGGCGCACAGTGGCGGTGTGGCAGGCACTTGCGACCCTGGAATGCTTCGCCGGCACCATGCATGAATGCCGTCGGCGCGAATATAGAGCCGTCAGAGTCACTGAGGTGTCGCTGGTCCCCACGTCCATGATACACGCACCGGTCGAATCAGTTGGCTCCATCAGCTCCGCCGTGTCCGTGTTGTTCGCTCGTCTCTTCCCGATCGTGATGGCTGCCTGGCCCGAAGTCGGTCGGCTACGCCATGGTTACCATTTCTCAGCCCGAGCAAAGCCGTTGCTTCTGTGACCCTGCTAAGCCGCTACTCCAGTGCCATCAAAGGTGGCAGACTTGCACTCGTCGGCTGTTAAGACACCCCGGACCAGGCCACTACCAGGTACGCGACGAGCTCAAAGAAACAGGCTACACTCACGCAGTTCTTTTTGCCCCAATAAGCAACCATTATCTTTTCGAGAAAGGGTTTTTATCAATGGTGAAGTGCAGACTGCAACAGCTGTGAGTTAGCTCGCGACTGTGCTGGCGGCATTGCTCTTGCGTCTTTTTGCTTCGTTTTGTATGTCGCGTTTTCGGTACATAGAACTATTTTACGATCTTCGTGCTGTTCGTTATAAGCGGGCTTGACCATACCTTCACGATTCTCTTTCTTCCCTTCACTTCCCAGTTATGGAGTGGCCGGCACCGTTTTTAAGGCTGCCAATCTCTGTGAAGACGGCAGCTGGGGGCCCTTTCTCTTCCGTCGCTTCTCGTGCTTGCCAGCTTCAGCGATCATCTCGTGGACAATGTTTCCCCAGAAATTGAAAAAGGTGCGCACCGACATCGCTGTCATTCCAGAGGGTGTCTGACTTGGATGGATGTCGGGCACCCTCAAGTCCCGAAACCTCCCAAAAGGAATCTAATTACTTGGAAAAAGATGTCTGGAGAAGGAAAAAGTCGGAAGACACCTAAGCACTTCTTACGAGTTGTGAATGAGAAAGCATGAATGTCGAATAGAACGCCGCGGAGTGATCCGCGGAGTCTTGTGGCGCGAGTTATGTTTTCGAGGTGTCGCAGAAGCACCGGCAACGATGTGGATGCTAAAGGCGGTGCCATGTTCGTCGGCGGCCAGAACTGCCGACGATGTGGATGATGAAGGCAACGGCATGTTGGTCGGCGGCGAGACAAGCGGAATCCTTCGAGCGCGTGCCAATGTGTCTGTTTTAACCGGCACGGGGCCCGTAGTGGCATGGAGTTGCGGCGGTTAGTTTTATCAGCGCGCTGGCGGCACGGACACGCAGCGCCATCTGGAGGCAATGGTTGAAACTGAGGCGCACAGCGACCAATGGGAGCCTCGACCTTTGGGATCAGGGAAACTAGGTGCCGTTTTCGCACTTCAAACTGATGACGTTGGCACGCTCCATGGGACCAGTCAGTGCTTTCGCATTAAAAGTTGCGGACACGGCAAGTGCAGTTACATGGAGAGGCAATCACTTTCAAGAAGTCCTCAAATTGTGCTCTGAGGATGATGTCTTCCATACAGACGAAACTACATGCTTTTATTAGCTGCTTCCCGACAAAACCGTGCAATTCAAGAGAGTGAAGCGCAAAAATGGCAAGATATCTAAAGTTTCAGTTTCTGTGCTCTACTGTTAAGACGCAATTGGCTCCAAGCAACTTAAAAGGGCCATTGGCCCTTTTAAGGTAAAATTTTGGGCTGGGATAAATGAATTTAGATTGGGCTTTCACGGATAGCATATCGTTTAGTGGGTCAAAAGAAAGAAGGTAGAAAGTCAAAAGCCTGCTTCTCAGCACGAAAATTTGAAAACATAGCCTACTACAGTTGAACCTCTTCATAACAAACACTGATATAGCGAATTATCGGATATAGCGAACTAATCACCAAGCTTGGTTGATCATGCTTTATTTGGATGAGAGTTCTAGTTATATAACGAAACCGAAACCATGAAACCTGACACGCTATCGGTTGTAGGGAAGCAATTCCTGCGTTTCTTGCGTCACAAGATACTATGAAGGTTATTAAAAAGTAGAAAAATACAAATACGCAAAATTCCGGAAGTTTAGATCGCACAATGTGCAAAATGCGCATTTCGGGAGGTAGCGCCACCTATGAACCGAACGAAAAACAACGTTGCGCCGCTGCTGGCCTCTTCGTTAGGCATCAAGAACCAGTGCAGACTAAAGCCAACCGCCAACCACGCCACTCGAAACAGGGCTGCAAATGGCGACGAAGCGAAAAGCTGCCTCTCTGGAGACGAAAGGGAAAATTCTAAGGTTGGTGGACAGTGGTTGGAAGAAGAAAAAAAAAAAACGCATCTTCACGTGGTGAATGATGTTGATTGAGGCGAAGCTCTGGTGGTGCTGATGATACTGATTATATTGTTCATAGGTAGTGCTGATGGTGCTGATTTCTTTTTACTGCTCATAGGTAGTGCTGAGTTCCGCGTTGCGTTTCGACTTCATTATTACTGCTTTATGGTCGGTGAAATGCAAAGCCAGTGGTTCCTCTAGCGGACCAGCTGGGATCCGCTAAAAGCCGTGGGAAGGCATCTCCACCGCTTAAAGTCCACGGTCCATGTCAGAAAGAGAATGTGTTGTATGGATTGTGGTTATATACGCAGTTGAGCATTTGACCGCAGCGCCCTCTCGTCTATAAACGTTGAGCCAGTGCATGCAAAGTTTAACGCGATTATATACGCATTTGACCGCAGCGCCCTGTCCTGTATAGACGTTGAGCGGCTACATGCAACGTTGGAGTGTAGCGTAGTGGTTAAGACGTCTGCCTCGTAAGCAAGCAATCCCGAGTTCGAACCCCCGTGCAGGCGTATGTTTCTTTTTTTAAAAGTGGGCCGATCCCAAAGGCAGTGCAATTGATGTGAGCATGGACGCCGGACGGATGGACAAGGCTAGACCCTAAGGAGCTTTGCCCCTAAAAGACGTCACTACAGACTTCGGACTTGCACCAAGCACGATATCTACCATCCTGAGTGCAAGAAAGAAGATTGAAGTCTGCTATGCAAACACCACCGTCGAAACTGACCGAAAGAGTCTTAGGCCTTGCCTCGACCCAGACAGGAAAGAGGCTCTGTTGTCATGGTTTAAGGACGTAACAGCGCGAAATTTGGCGGTGTCTGGTCAGCTTCTTTAAATGAAAGCAATCTGTCCGGCGTGTCTGTTAGGGAATGATGATTTCTGTGCAAGCAGCGGTTGGCTCCAGCGCGGTGGCTCGAGGTGAAGAGGTACAAGCCCAAAATCACATCTTCAAGTAAATGGAATAATAGATCCAGCTAACGTCGTTTATTGTGTTTCAAATTGATATCCTCATGCTCCAACCTATTTTTTTAACGCTGCTTAGTGACAGGTGAGGATCTCGTGGTCCGCAACAGCGCGTTTTTTATATATCTTAGTGCTGTGCACGTTCTTTTACCGGCTCGATTGCAAGAACATTTGCGTCAATTTTTGTGCGTACTTTTATAACCTCTCGATGCTAGTTCGTTATAACGAGGTTCGACTGTATTTCATACTCTCCTTCCCTCGAAAGCCCTCCACTTTTTCACTGCGACACATCCACGGTACCCAAAGAATGTCACCTGGCCCCAAAGGACATCACATGAAACCCTTCCTCACTATATTCCCTTCATCCCTAAACTGACAGTGCGGTGGGAGCTACGTGCTTGCCAAACCAATCAGCCGCCTCTCTTTCATTACCTGGCCCTATTCTCTGCTCGTGGGTATGTGCGAGGGAGCGTGATCATATAGCAAAAGATGCGGTTGGTGCAACGAGCACGTAACTTCCACAGCCACAGGCGATAAAAGGGGAAAGCAACTTCTGTACGCATTTTGAGCGACAGTCTAATCTTCTGGGGGGAGAATGGTGACGTCCGGGTACACAAACGACGGTCCCAGCAAGAGGGGAGTTGCTCCTCTCCCTCCTCTTGAACAGTTTAATAATGCTGCGTGATTTGTGAGTTGAGGAGGAAAGCTAAGAAGGAAGAAGTGGAAAAATCGTTTCATGGCCCCTTTATGCCTTTGGCGATCGGAATGTTTGCAAAATCCCGCTGCACAAAGAACATAGCACATTTATTTGAATGTAAGTCAACCTTCCTTTTTGTGGAAATGATGTCAAAAATTGTCAGAAAGACCTATAATCGTGAACAGGAAGTTTCAACCAACATTCGTGACCAACTTTTGGGACCCTACTGAGTGCACAGAGCTATCAGTCACCGAGCTCCGTGTCGTCGTAGCGCCGCACTGCTTCTCGTTTCAGAAAGCTTTTGGTGCACGAAAACAACCGAAACAGCAGCAGCCGGAGGCCCGCTGTGGCCATTGCTCGCTGCATCCCTTGGGCATCAGATTTTGCCGACACAGCATGCGACACGCAACGCACTTGCTGCTCACGCCGCGTTGCTCGCGTCCTTGTATGTGATCTTTCGTCGCCTTGCCCGTCTCCACCTTTGTTCCTTTCTTGTTGTCACGGTGTCAGTGAACGAAGCTGACGTAGATTCCGACAACAATGACTTGTCCGGAAGTTCTGACAATGATTAAGTTATTGGCATCGCGCTGTGGTTTAGCTGAGAGTGCTGTAAATAAAAATTTCTTTTTTTCTTCTGTCCAAACTTTTTTCTGTTCTTTAAAAAAAAAAAAATCAACCTAGTAAGTTCAAAAAAATTTTTTTTCTTCTCGGCGAATTTAATACATTTGCATCGACCTATATTTTTCGTCAGCTCATATTTGAGTAAATACGGTAGTCTCGGTGCCACACGATTACCGAGCCAAGAAACGAGCCTGAATGACATGAGGGCTATTTTCCGAGTACCCTTTCGGGTGGACGGTCAGATGCGGAAAGACGGGGGAGACTTCTCCAACCATCGACAACCGCTCGGCTCGTACAGTCGACGTCCGTCTCACAAATGTGCGCCTAAAGTTCTTGCCCCCTAAAACGGACTTTTCCCGCTCTAGCCTTTAGATCGAGGCATCATTGAGAGCATAAAAGCGCACTCTTGGAAGCGCCTCGTTCGGCGGCCGCCGATTAATCTTCGATTAAAGTGGCCGACTGAAGCGGTCGATTGAAATCGACCGTCAGAGTCCGACAGGCCACGGAGATGCTCGCTGGGGCACGGTGGAGCGTCACGCCAACGTGGAAACGTTGGCGTGACGCTTCTGAAAACGCCAGTCCAACCAGAAGATGGTGATCATCCAGACAAAAGCAACAGATGCAAAGTCATGGAGGAGCTCGTCGTGGACACCTCGGTGGAGTTCGAGGATTATGAGCAGTGCAATGAGACAACGTGGATGTCGGCGGAGTTGACAACCGACCACGATCTGAACAACGTCCGTGAAAAGGAAAACTGCAGCGTCGAGGACAATGACGAAGGCGCAGAAGCAGTGTTCGCAGATGGACAGGAAGAATCCATCTCCGCGTCCAATGTCCTGAGTGCCATCGGCAAGTTGCACATATTCCTTGGTAGCTGAACATATGTGACCGATGCACTTCACAAAGACATTTATGACATACAATAATTTATCCTGCACCCACCAAAAAGAGATTACAGATTTTATCAAATAAAGTTGCAGCGTCCCTCCCGTGTAATGCTTTTTGATTGGAGATGACAGAGTTCCATCCCGTTGTAAAAGCAGGTTATCCTTTCCAATCATTTTTATTACAAGTGCTGATGTCAGTTTTTCACGAGGGTGATATTTCAGAATAACGAACAAGTTTTGGTAGTCCCGTGAAATTCGTTATAGTATCAAGATTTGACTGTATTTTCACGTTTTTCTCATCGTACCCACAACTATTTACCTGCCACGTGACCACTCGTTGCTCCGCTTAAAACGTTTACTTAGGATGTTGTGAGGCGGACTTCCGAAACAAAACTTTGTCACAAGGTCCTAAGATATGTCTGCCATCTATAATCTGTACCTAAGCGTGAGCTCGAGAGATTCCCTCGTTGTCACTTGAAGCAGGCGAATCACTTACAATGTCGGATGCATCAACCCTGGTTCCGACAATCTTCAGCCGTATCTCGTCGTCCTGCTGGATGATGACATCCTGGGAAAGAACGAGCAAGGTTAGAAGTTGCGTGTCAGCAGCTTTCTTCGATAAAAAAATAAAAAGGACCATGTAGTTATTTTTCAATGTGGTGCAGCACAGGAATGCCCACTCTAGCTTTTATACAGAAGATACAGTATGGATCAAAGGTTTTCTCAGACATGCATGACATACAAATGGTTCTCGTTGACAGTTTCCAAGAAATGGACAAATTTCGTCAGGGTTGCTGAAATTGCTGTGAGGGGCCAGCGTAACCCCAAGCAGTATGCAAGCATTCTCTTGACTCCCGCATCATCCTCAGTTTGAGACTGCAAAACTATGTAGCCACTCAATTCCCTCGGGGGACTAAAATGCTTCTAATTATATGGAAAGGGGAAAAAAGTACAGTAGAACTTCATTGATACATTCCAGATTTCTATGTTTTCCCAGCTTTTACGTTCAAAACCGCCGGTACCGCCGAGCTCTCAGCCCTTGGGGATTTTCACATTTTTTACTATGAGGTTCTACTGTATGTGCAGAAAAGCAACTCGAGAGGGTAAGAAACCACTTCAGCTGTACCCGTTAAAGCAGCTGCTAGCCAAGAAATAAGAGAAATGAGGAACTAGAAACTGGTCACCAGTCGTTATTGCTTTAGGCTTGAAAGTGGACTGCAGGCGTGCCATTTACACAATGTCACGGATGGAACTGGGCAAAGCAGCTTTGGAGCAATCTTGGGAGCAGAAAAAACTGCGGTTTGGAGCAGGCTGGGAGCAGCAAGAACGAGGTCTGGGAGCAAGTTGGGAGCAGCATACGAGTTTTAAGAACGTTAAACTAGAGGCTAAATGTCACCTGGTTTTCAAAACTAAAGAAAATATGGCAAGCGGGTAAAGGGGTGTCCAAACAGGACACTACAAAACGCACGACTCCAACAAATCGTGAAAATTGAAGCGGACGCTTCTATTTTTACGATTTGTCGGAGTCGTGAAAATGTTTGCAGGAGTCGTGAAACTTTTTACGATCACGACTGCTCTCCTCTTCAGATTGACGTCACACGCCACCTGCGTCTGGCTCACCTCGCCAACGCCCTCGCGTACCGCCGTCGCCTCGGCTCGAAGGCCAAGGAGGTCCGGCTTCGGGTGGCTTTGGGACATTCCTGCGTCCAAGGGTGCGTTTCGCCCACGTCGGATCAGCTTTCTTTGTCGAGATTCACTTTCGTCGTGATGGCGTCCGATGCGGTTCCGTATTGCGAGCGGAGGCCTTGAGCGATTGACCGACAGCCAACAAAGCGTGTGAGTGGCTCTCCGGACCCACGTGATAAGCAGAGCAAGGCCGCCGTGGAGGAAGCAAGGGGGACATTTGACGGGGGGAAGTTTCCCCCCGGGAAGAATTGACGGAGGGAAATTTGCCCCCGACGGCCGGAAGCGGAGCGCGGCACGATTTGCCAGAGTCGTGAGTTTTGTAGCATCCTGTTTGGACAGGCTTAACTCCATGTGAGCCTAACGGTACTTTCAATGAACTTTTTAGTTGCAAATAATTTTCACAAAATTTGGAGCAAATTACACAAACCATATGAAGCAAAACTGCACATGACAGTGTGACAGATGACAAAAGCAACTTGCAAAGAGGTAAATATAAACAGGTACAATTAGCCTTCATTGCTCAGCATTGACTAGTAAGGTGTACCGAAAAATAAAACGCAGGCACAAAAATGTTTTTCATTTTTCAGTGACTAGAATAAGATAATAAATGTCCTCGCACATATAAATCTATCGGGGCTTCGTCAATTGATCACGGCTACACTTCGTTTTTTTCGAGAATCTGAGTGAATTTTGGATAGTAGTCTCCGCTAACAGCACTTGCCAGACTCAATCTTCTCCGTCTTTTTTTTTTTTTTTTTTTTTTGAGACTCGGTTTACTTAATGATTGCGCATGCTCAAGCATAGTCCGCAAACAGATGATGCCCCGTTCAAGTTGTTGCTCGTCTTCCTGAAGACAAGCAAGACAAGTACTTGCTTCCCTCGCATCACTGTTCTTCCTGTTCTGTCTCTCGTTGTCTTGCTTTTCGACCTCTAGCCTTTCTGCGTAAACTTTACGAGACTTTTTCACAGCTTGCAGTAGAAGTCTGCTGTCAAAGGCACTTTCGTGCCATCCCTGCCAAATCGCTAGAGGTAGCTCTTGACTTCGGGCATACCGTATTGAAAGCGCAATCCCAATCTGACAGCTCGTATCTTGCTCCGTCATACGCCCCACTGCTCGCTCGCCTTTGTTCCCAAGTTTTCTGCGTGGGGCCGCGGGGCGGGCCAACACGGGCAGCAAGATTGCAATAGTCACAAGTTTGCTTCACTATTTAGATCTTCAGATGAAGTGACTCCAGGCCTTCAGAAAAGCACGGCGAGCAAGCAGCAATGGCAGCTAACATTGGCGGAAGCAACCTTCAGATACAGATCTTCAAATTCGGATCCACTGGCGTCCCACTTGGGCCGGAAGTTCCGGCGTCAATGTGGCCAACAGAAACTGCGAGACAGCTCATTTCGATGAGGCTCGTTTATAATTTCAGTCTGGGCGCACCTTGGCACAATTTCGTTCTTATTTATACTTTTGTATCAGTGTGGCACATGAAAACTCATTAGGCGCACAGTGGCACAACTGGCACGGCAGTTCCACCCTTGCAATGTTTAATCTGGAAATAACTTGAGTTCGCTTTTGACTTGGTGCCACATTTGTTCCCAGTGCCACACTTCGACACAGCGCCCAAACCCCACCATTTACAAACCGTCACTAAGCCCTGTTAAGAATGGAACCTTCGGCGACCTTCTTCCGAGTTTCAACGCTGCGGAAACGAGTCAAGACGAGTCCGGGACCGTCGCCCGCTTGTCGGGGCCTGCGCGAAACGAGTCCCGACGAGTCCGGGACCGTCGCCTGCGTGACGGGGCCTGCGGCAACAAGTCTCAACGCGCCCGTGACGTTAGCGGGACGTGTGTGTGTGCGTGGTGGTTGGTGCGCTCGGGAAAGGGAGAGAGGCATGGCCTAACTGCGGAGAACTTTGGCTACGTCGCACTGGACGGCGGACTTTGCTGCGTCGCACTTGACGGCGGGTTGCTGCATCGCACTGGCTGCCCTGGCGGGGAGTGAGGGAGAAACGGACCCTATATAAGGCGGAGCGCGAGGCTGCTCCGGTGTGTTCTCTCGGATTTGACGACTGTATCGCTACCATGTAATTAAACCGTTCGTTACGTTACCAATTCTCCCACCTCCACTGGACCCCTGGGTTCTTCACTTCGGGGAATGGACGTCGTCTCGAGCCAGGAAGCTTCCGGACGTGCGGCCTAAACCCCGCCTCGAACAGCCCGTAGATTTTATGTATAACATTGATCGAAATTTCGGATGCCATAAAGCTTATTACTCAATATTTCGGACATAATTTGCTTGATTTCCTCAGTTTACAGCCACAAAACAGCCCCCGCGATAGCGCCGCGAGCTTAGTCGCTGCCATTTTGGTTGTTTTGATTTTGCACTCTACCCTCGATACCACGTCCTACGCAAAAAACAAGCTGGGTCGAGGCTATAGTCGGGTTTTCCGGTTCCGCTATAGCCAACATGGCCGCCATCTGCGCAGTCTTATGGTTCTTCCAGTTCTTCTTGTGGTCCGTGTTTTTCGAGTGTGACCGCAAGAAGGGCGGCCGTCTGCCACCCTTCTGGTCTTTGAGTGCGAAAGTTTTTCGCCAATAGGCTTACTTAGTATTGAGGTGAGTTTGGTGGACTAAACGGTGTCACCAAATAGCGCCAAATGGAGCCAACTTCAACGTCACTGTCTTTGCCAACAAAGGCACCGACAAAGCGCAGCACCGTGATCAAACAGATCAACAGACAAGTGAAAAGTGAACAATATAAAGGGGAAGTTGCACGAGAACTTAAAAAGGACATCAAGAGAGTGGAAAGTGGCCAAGAGGCAGCGGAATATGCGCAGAAATCTGACATTTTGGCTGAAATCAATTTTTCGGGCTGCTTGATTATTCGGACATTTCTGGGGTTCCCTCCGAGTCCGAACAATCGTTCGGCGACTGTATTAGTACTCCATCTGACCCGAGTGAAATGCACCAAAGTGTTGATGTCGTATTCACACTGAGAGGCACTCTCAGTGCAGTGCATTAATACAACAGTCACGCTGGATTTATTCCTGTCATTAGTAACCAAAACTATGAATAGAGCAGCTTTAGGTTCACAAGTGTTTGCTGTACGCCGCAGAAGAGCAAACGCAGAGTGCCGTGACGGATGAAAAGACTCACCTCATCTTGGGTTCTGTAGCACGGTGGATTGGAATTGGGGTCAAACTGCATGTCCGATGGAATAGACTGGAAAGATGTGCACACTGAATCACTCTACAGAAAAGAAAATAATTACGAGGCAAACATTAAGATAAGAAAAAAAAGAGAGGGTCAATAGACTCCTGGTTTAGTATGGCCTATTATTTATTTATTTCACATACTAGCAGGCCTATGGAGGACTATAATAGGTCAAGGTTATTCATCAATATACAATACAACAACAGATCAGCAATATTAAAGCGGTCTATTACACTGCATAAAAATATAACACAGCTGAAGTTTGTTATCAATGATACCAGTACCACAAAACACACAACCAATATGTCATGACCCAAGAAGCCCAATACAGTGAAGCGTCATTGTAGGAATCGCTACACGCGCAAAACAAATTAAATGACTGACAAGAAACAACAGTCTCGGAGAGTCGATTCCAAAAGCTGATGGGAAAAATTCATACATAAAACAATTTTTCGGGCATTGGTACTGGTGAAGTGTGTGCCTACGCTCTTTTCTAGATGTTCTTGACTCATGCAATGTTAGATGGTGACTTTTGTTCATTAAAAGCATATAATTCTGTCTCATAAACAAAAAGTTCAGTCTTTTGTTCTTTTGTCAATATTTAAGTAAGGCGAGGTTTGCTCTGGAATACAATTCTGTAGGGAAATCCAATTTCCCCAACTTGGAAAAATAAAACGCAGAGCCAGCCACTGCACTCTCTCCAAGTTTAGCACGTCATACTTTGTGCGGAGATCCAAAATTTCTGCAGCGTACTACAGTAGTGGTTGCACCAACGATTTATAAGCTGTTAGTTTGATACCAATAGAACTTTCTTTCAAGGTTTGTCGCAGGAACCACAATATTGAATTGGTCTTTTTAATGATGGAATTGGGATCCCCAAAGAAGGTCGTGCATCCTGAAACACGGGTCAGTGGTTCATCGTCTATATTGTACTGGAAATGTAGAGCCTCGATTTTATCGGGGATGGTCATAAACACACAGTCTTTTACTTATTAATTTATTGATCCAACATATGGGGCCAAAAATTATTGGTTGTCTGTTTATCGATTCAGCTCTGGAAAGTTTGATAGCTGCCGTCGAGTCCTACGACTATATCAAGGAGCTCGCCGCCGATCTATCGAGAGGAGTGGAGATAACAAGGCAGTAGCGCTCGACATACTACATTGAAACATGTTGGGCACTTGTTGAACACGAGCGCTGCATCAGTGCTCTTCGAGGACTCGTGTTCAGTCAGTGAAGAGACAAGCCCCGGCCAAACTCTGATGTAGCTCTTATCGAGAGAGGAGTAGGGGAGTCAAGAAGAAAAAAATCGCCTGGCTTAGACATTGCATTAAACACCACAAAGGAGCGATGGCACTTGACAAGGTTTCTGCTGAGCGGCGTTTTCTGTTGGAATAACGTGAAACGTGGCAAAGGAACTATGAATGAATAAAGAACTTCCCTTTATCTTCGTTCATCCCCCGATACGATGCCGTGCAATGTCCGACAAGAGTTGCGTCGATTGCGCGATTGGCGGTATCCGTACCTGTGACGAGCGAGGTCGCGGCGGGTTCCCGGGTGTTTATTGCGCTGTGGAAATCAGAGTTTGCCATGTCCACGATCTGCACGTGTGACATTGATTCTGGTGACTTGAGAGCTTGTGGTGAGTTTTTACGTGTTTGTCGCACTGTGAAACGAAAGTCTGTTGCATCTGCAACTTGCGGTACCGGTTCCCACGATACGTGATTTCGTAGAGATTAAACATGTTTAACGCACCGTGGAACACAAATCTGCCATACCCGCAATCCGCGGTATCAGTTCCCATGTCACGTGGCTGATAGCGAATGCCCCTACCAGTTTTTTATCGCTCATTTTTGACATTATTCGGCAGTCGCTCCATTCACCATTTATCCCTTCACCACGGACAAGCACATTATCCAAATTTTACGGCAAGCGTAATTAATCGTAATTCACGAGATTTACCCAGCGGCGCGGTGAATCTGCAGCCTGAGTCTCTGCACGGCACCACAGGGAGGAGGTGAATGGGAGCGCAAGCAGCTCGACTAAGCATGACTCAGGGGAGCCTGCAGTAGCAGGGAACTGCCGGCACGCACAGTGGGCTCCCGAACAACCAAGCGCCCCGCGCCATCTCACAACGTCACATGGTGGATCGCAGCACATCAACGGGTAGCGCAGCAGGTCTACAATGTTATGATTGAGCTGCTCGGATAAAGGAGACAGTTTGTGTGCCGTTCTCAGGGCACTACGACTGCCGCACGAATAAGTTGAAGTGGGAAGAGTTTCACTCACGTGTCTCGAAATGAAGCAGGACAGGGGGCCGATCTCGGTGAACAGGCCAACCTGCATTGGAGTAGAGGGAGCGGGCAAGGGACGTCAACACACCGGCGCAGCATTGAATGCAGGATGAATTGTACGTGCACCACAAACACCCAACTCTCATCCTCTGGGAATAGGGTGACCATAATCCTCGAGGCAAAAAACGGGGCGCTCAGGTTGGGGAAGGGGGGGTAGATAGAAAGCGAAATAAAAATTGTGCCACTACCCTAATGTCCTGTTCGAGATGCCCCGCCCCCCTTTTTAGCATAACTTGCAATTTTTTTCAGAAACACCAAAAGATAGCCCACTTTCAGTAATAGTGGGGCTCTGGCCAATGGTGACCTCGGCAAAAACGGTGTTACTTAACTACGGCACAAGATAAGCGAATATTGCTGACTGGAAAGGATAGGTGTCTTTGGTTCACTGCCCTCTCCTGCGATCACGTTCCAAGGGTCACAAAATCTAAAACTAGAATTTTTCCAATTTTTTTTTTTTTTTTTGGGGGCACACTGAAAGTTAGGTTATTCCTCATTTCCTTCCGATTTGCTATAAATTTTATGTGGGCTATCTCCCGGGATATTACAGTAGTAATTTGAGCGTAGAAACGCATATTGTTCCAATGTCAGACGGGTGAGTTTCGTGGCCAGTTTTACACACTGTTTCATTGTTGCCAAGTAGTACTACAAGCAAAGTCTGGCAGAGTAAGTGGCAGATGTAACAGCTCAAAATTGTGCTGAATGGGAAGCAACATTTACATTGTACATTTATTTTTTACAAAATTATGCCTCTAAGGATTAATTATTCTTTCGGTTTTCTTCCATTCGCTTGGTACTACATAATGCAACTGCACGTTCCCGCGAAAACGCGACGTGAGGCTTTTTCGAGGCAAAATGACGGCACTATGTAAATGAACCTCTAAAATGGGACTGTCCTGCCCAAAATGGGACGCCTGGTTACCCTGTCTAGGAAAAAAACCTTGAAAGCAGAGCTACCAGCGATAGTTGGTATCTGCCTTCGGCGGGTATAGCTTGCCCGGTTTCCCGAAAAATCCAGTCTGCTTCGGGCAATCTACTGGTATTTTTTAACCTATTTGTATAATCTATTATACTTGTTACTTCCATGTGGGTGCTCACACGATTTCGAGTTAAAGGCCGACAAGCAACGAGAAAGAAAAGAGAGCGAGAGGGAATGGAGACAAGAAAACTGGGAACCGGCTTTTTGCCCAGCTAAAGACGACTCTGTAGGTCGGCCTTTCAGCTAACATAATAATTTAAATTTTGTTTAATTTTTCTTGCTCCACTTTTGTGTGCGTGCCCCTGGTGCAGCATAGAACATAGCACTGTGACACCGACCATGCAATCAAATAGGAACATAAGTGCAAGCATAAATAAGAAGCAGGTCAAAGAGCAGAGGAAAAGGCCAAACAAAGACCATTTCTTCTCTCCATTTCCATCCTCTTTCCAAACTTTCTTTTCCATAGATTGCAGCTCAAGATAGACTGGCTTTGGCACTGCAGTACATACATGTTAATGAGGAGTACCGATAACTGTGTAGCTGAGACATGAACCGTTGGCATGGTGTCCTCATAAGAAGTACCAACACTGGTCATGACGTTTGGTTGGTGCCACCCACATGTCCATGTAAATGTAGAGCTCTTTCCTAATGCATGGCCTGATCGGCACACACTGTGTTAATGTTCCAGCTGATGCAGCTTCTAGTGTGCTAAAAACACGGCAATGTTCGGCAGCTAGTGCCAATAAACTCAATATTAGCTCTCATGACTGTCAAAATCGCTCTTTAATTTCCCGTGGAAGAGTAAGGCCGGATGTTATGCACGGAAGCATATTATTGAGCAGTGAACAATGGACTTGAATCAGCATGATCTCACCTTCCGAAGAAAGCAGAAAATACCAGGCCCCACTGCTGAACTTAACCTAAAAGAACCCTGTCACGATTTTACAGCTTTGGCTGGGGAGCAATTAAAATAAAACCTCGCACAAAATAATTCCCAACAACTCCAAATGTCTTTCTTGTTGGCCCATTTTGCCCCCCAAATTAGCAATTGTGTAAATGTGATGTCGCCGTGGGTGGAGAAAAAAAGGATCCTTCGAGAAACCAAGAAAGGAGAAATAGTCTCGATCGATTATTCACGGAGTTGGGCGTCGGGAAGGTGGAGCGAGAGAGCTGCTACAAAGGTTTGAGCGTTTGTTTGAAACGTTGTTTGGCCACATACCCCGAGCATGTATTGAACATGAGGGTTGTGTCAACGTTCGGCATGGACTTGGCTCAGCTCCTACTGAAAACAAATACTATGTCAACGTTCGGCAAACAGTCGTTTCCAATCATACGCTTCGAGCCCGAGAAAGGCAACTGCCAATGTCACCTGATGTGTCTTTGAAAACGGTGCATTGCTACACACGAGACGTCCCCTCAACAAACTAGCAATCACTAAGGATGAAAGGGCTGTCTAATTTTCATCACCGGCAACTGTTTCGCAGCCGCTTTTAATGAAAAAAGCAGACCCAACCGTGGCTTCGCAACTCGCAAATGGTGTAACAGACTGCATCATGGCGCCTCTTGCAATGAACCAGTGCAGTACCTCAGTTTGTGACGCGTCTCGTGCAGCCACACCACTCACCTTGTTGACCTGGGTGACGACGGCGTCCAAGACTTCTCCCTTGAAGGGCCGGAACACGATGGCCGTGTACCGGACAGGGTACACCACAAAGCCCCTTCCCGGCTGGATGAGGCCCGCTCCAATGTTGTCGATCGTCATCACCGCCACCACAAACCCGTACCTGCGGCACAGTCAAACACGCAAGGCACTGAAACAAGTTTGCCTACTATCCCACACGGTCGAGTAGACCGTGTGTTTACGATTCCCCGACTGTTAAACGTTCCAACATTTGTTGGCGACAAGGAAGTTTCGGTTCCGCCTACAGCGTGGAGTCAAAAGGCGACCCAGGTCTGCCCTCGCAACAGCAATTACGGCAAGTGAGAACACTGAAACGTAATTACAGATGCTTCAATCGACTGCATTCCCACGACTTCGGACTGCTGCAGCTTCAGGCGTACTCCAAAGCTGCAGTTCGACCAACACAAGCTCTCGCATCAGACTAGTAGGTCAACGCTCACGCTCCTACAATCGTGAAACACGAGCCCTCCCGAGTATTAAACGCTTGCGCCGAACGTTAGGCCCCCTTCAGATTCAGATGGGGCATACCTCCCCGAGAATCTCGAGTCGCGGAAGAGTCGTCAGTTCCCACAACATGAGCTATCGTCATCGACTGGGGTCGAAGCCCGTGACTCAGTTGCGGCGACTCAGGAATATCCGAGGCAACAGTGCGAAATCTGCAATGCTTCTCCGACTCCTTTTGTTTAGCGCCCTATTCCACCCATGCATCGAAAGTGATCCAAAAGTGGCAACAGATGACGTCAGAGAAGCCGGAGTGTCACGCTGTCGGATGTCGCGATCCTGGTGGCCGAGCAAAAGGTTCTGGAAAAAGTATGACTGAACAAGTGTCGCTGGCGTCAGGGCGTCCCAACTTTTGACTGCAGAGGCACCTGTGGACTGCCAAGCTGGTGAGTGACCTGCAGTGGAACGGGCGTCTGCCACACCCCAACCACTGCTGCGACGCCGCCAGGATCGCAACTGGCAACAGCGGGACACTTTTATGACATCGCCGGGTAGAAATGGAGGGACCACTTTTTGCAATGTGGTAAACAGACCAGTTGGATACACATGCCAAGCACCGCAGTCGCGGCTAAGTGGCATCCGTTAGTATCTACAACACTATTTACAGACATAAAACCATGTTGCAACAGAGCAAGCTTGCGTCAAAATAGCGAAAAACAAAAATTACATTTTCAATAATGATGATGACGAAACATAGCCAATAGACCCTTTTACAAATTCAGCGCCATCTACCGGAACGGTTGCAAAGCTTGGCAGGTGGGCGTGGCGCGGTGTGCGTCCGCCAGAAGCATGTATGGTCGCATCGGCGCTTGCTCAACGTGCGCTACACCACTCCCACCACTGCGGCCACAGAAGGTGTTGCGCGGCTGATACTTCGCCACACGCTGCTTCTGCGATGCCTTTTCATTGCCGTGTGCCGCTGTGTAAGCAAAAAGGACTCAAGGATGCCTCTGGCTCGCGGTTGGGCGGTGCGCTCGCGGTTGGGCGGTGCGCTCACGGTTGGGCGGTGCACGCACACGACCGCTGCGGCAATCAAAATGGAAGAGATCCCGCCAGATTAGTAGCATGGAATGATATCAGCCGTCTCGTGCTGCTTCTCAAGCGCTAGCGTGACGAAAGGGAGCATGCACCTGCACCCTTTTCTTTTTGTAAACAGAAGCGATGTTGCTGGGCTTGGGGTATCGAGATAATGTTAACATTCGGCCATTTCGTGTGACCTCTCGCGAATTTGTATACTTTTTTCTTTACGGGTATCTTTTGTTCGCCATCCCATCCGACCCCACTCTCCGAAAAAAATGGATTGTTGCGATAAAACATGACGAAGGCAAGCACTTCTCCATTACGAAGTACACTAAGATTTGTTCAGGACACTTTCGAGAAGGTGACTACATTCCGAACGTCGTTACCTCAGACAGGAAGCAGTGCCGAGCATCTTCGCTTTCAACGTCGCGAAAAGGCCGCCCAGAAAGGAACCACGAGTACGACAGGCGCCGCCGTCAACGCCGAAGTTTTTCGCCGCTGATGCCGGAGTGACGAATGACGCAATCGCCGAACCGAGCAGTCAAGACGCGGTGAGCGAACCCGCTAGTGAAGAGGCAAGCTACGCATTCGTTGATCTGACCAGTGGACACGCGGCACCTGGGGCGTCGAGCCAGAACAATGCAAGCGGCGAAATCGTCACTGTCAACGCTATGGAAGACTTCACCGCTGACTTCATGTGCCACGCAGTCGCAACTGAAGACAGCGTAGTGAACGATTGTAACATTGACGACGGCATTAATGCTGCCACAGGCACAGTCCTCGACCGGGCTGAAAGTCTGAAATGGCGACAAACGTCTGGCCCACGAGACTGTTAGACTGCCAGCAGCAGCAGAGCTCGTACTCGCGATGCCGTACATGCTCATGGCAGCGTTGGCGGCGTCTCCCTCGTACAATGTGGCCAGCCGCACTTTTGAGCACCGTCAAGGTGACGGTGATGATAGCTATTGAAGTGGCCAGACTGAATTTCGGAAAGGGTCTATTGACATTCAGCAGTTGCCGCGTGTGAATGCGGGAGCCCCATGTACCAGCCGTCGCAACCTCGAGATGTTGGGAAAGACCTCGTGGTGCTCTGAGTGTACCAGCGGCAAATGGAGCTCGAAAGGAAAAGCTGTTGGGAAGGAGATCCAACCGTTGCACCCCTAGTGGCTAAATTGAGAACTACACTGATGGGGACGGGGACAATAACAGCACAGAGGATTTGTGCACGTTCTGACGCGCACTCGGTCCTTGTAGCATTGGCGTTTGGCCGAAGTTCGCGTTCAATCAGTGAAGCTGAACACAAACGCAGCACTCGTGAATTTTCACTTCACCTTTCTCGACTGAGCGCAGGGAAAGAGTTGGGCACGAGTTGTGCCCAATCTCTGCCCTCGATCAATCGAGAAAGATGAAGTAAAGAATCCTGTGTACATGCCTTGTGTTGATGAGCATAAACTCTGGGGAAAACAAGCTGCACATAGTGTCTTCTATAGTTTTATGCCCTTGCCAATTCTCCTTTCCACCCAGACCTGTACATAACGGGTTACGAGCAACTGGTTACTTGTAATCAATTAATTTTTTTGTAACTTTTTTTGCTTCGATTACTAATTTTTTCTGTGGTAATTCTGCTTTAATTCAATTACTATTTTTCTTACAAGTAATTAAGTATATGTTTCTGAAAGAGCTGAAATTGTTGAGTCGAAATTTTTTGCATGAAAAATCGCTCTCTCTGCCTGTGGGCCTTAAACCTTTTAGCCTTAAACAACTAAAGAAAAGATACCAAGATACCAGAAGGATTAGAATGTTAACGCGCTCAGCGACATTTTGACTGTCGAGAGTGCCTAGTTTTTTGTGTAAGGGTTGCTACGATCCGCTCCGGAGAATCCGTCTACAAGCGATCTTTTCAGCTTTCTACTGTTCCCTCCTGGAATGCTTTCAACAGGCGGTCACAACAGTGAAGCGCTTCGCTTCCTAAAGGACTCGAAAGCGCCCGTCAATGCAGTGCACAACCACGAACTGGCAGGCAAAGTGTTTGTGTGCTATAACACGCACTTCCCTCAAGCGCATCCGTCGAGAGGGGCTTCAGCATCGTGGCAGATATCTTCACCAGGAAACGTTGGAAAATAAGCGACGAGAACTTCAAACGACAACTGCTTTTGAAGCTTAACAAGGTGTGAATGACAAAAAGACAAAAAAATGTAACCACTTTGAACATAGGTATACATTTTTCATTTCGTATTAAAAAGTTTAAAAAAGTAATGTGAAAAGTAATCAAGTATGAATGAAACGTACAGCGCTAACAGACGGGACAGAAGAGAGAAGAGACACAATGGACTGTCAGTGCCTCGTTTCCTGTACACGGGTTGTTTGGTGGTTTCACTCCATTGGCAGGACACGGGATAAGAACCTCCAAGCTTTTAAGTCAGCGACGATTGTATGTCTTCTCTCTTCTGTCCCGTTTGTTTGCACCGTAAGTTCTAATCATCATGTCTTACAAATATGCCCACACTTCCATTTTAATCGATTACTTTTTGGTAATTTTTATAGTTACTTTTGTGATGCAGTAATTGATTACTGTAATCAGTTACGTTTTTCAATTGAGTAATTGTAATCGGGTATATTTTTTCAGTAACGCGTACAGGAGTGTTTTCACGTGACGATGAACTGCAGAGGATACTACAAACCATACCAACCAATTCAGCACTATAAACGTATCACGTAACTACGTGACAATACGTTGCTGCGCGCCTCCCGAAGGTCACGTGACACTCCCACGGCATTGAATTGGTTTCAATGACCGATAGCGTCATCTGCGGTCCATTGTAATATGAAACGGAGCATAGCTTGTCGTCGCTAAGCCACTACAGCCCATGCACAGGCTCGCAGGGGTGTCCTCGCACGTTCGCTCAGAACGAACGGACACGCGCAGATCCTGGTCGTAGTCGTAAAGCGGTTCTACTTTAATTCGAGTAAACTAATGATTTCTATCGGTAAGGGAAAAGTGTGTTTAGCTGTGGTATGGATCGATAGGTTCGACGGCTCGAGTCAAGACCGAAAAACATACTTCCCGGTGCAGGTGCCTTCCACTTCGGCGTAGAGCTTCTGCTTCACCGTCTCTTCCAACTGGGGCCCGAAGTACCTCGGGTGAAGTAAGATCTCGTGATCTAGGGATATCTGAAATGAATGCAAGCATCATTAGACACGGGTGAGAGCAGAACTTCAGAAGCGACGGTGTGAAGAATGACAGCGACAAGCGAGTCTTGCTGATCCGCGGTGGGTGCCCTCGACGGCCATCTGACGCAAAAACTGACCAACAAGCACGAAAATATGTTGGGTTTTCGTTAGTCCTCGGTTAAGGCAGAAAAATAGATACTTACGTGATAAAACATTTTGTGAAACTAAGATAAAACACGATAACACCAAGCCAGAAATCCCAAAGACGCAGCCGGATTCGTGGTAGTGTCGACGGCGATTGTGTTTCCATGGGCAAAGAGCTCTTTACCAGTGTTGCCAGAAGGGAAGCGCGTCCCGCTACATTTGGGAAATTTTGCTTTTCGCCTTTTTTGTCTAAAACATATTTTCACATGTTAACGGAATGCAGCAGATTTGTAGTACAATGTAGTACAGTACCGCAAATGCCGCAAAGCATTTTAAAGTGCGGATGGTGTGCAGATTGCCAATTTGGGGCAATAATTAATTTAATAGTTAGTCTGAATGCAAACTGGCTTTGCATTCAGTTGCTCACATGTTATTATTTTTTTTTTTTTTTTAGCATTTAGGGCAAAACAAGTTATAGTCGGTTACAAGTCAAGAAGGTAGGAGAAGCTCCTCCCACAAGTGTGATGCGCCCGTTTCAAATCCCTCCGCAGTCGAAAGAAGAGTTCACTGGAAACGCTCCTTGTTCCGCTTCAATAGATTCCAACTTGTCTCCGATCCCACTTTTTAAGAAAGCGACCTTTGTATTCATCGTAGAGGGAACCGAGCCCCTGAAAGCAGCCTTTGTATCCATCGGGGGGGAAGCTAATCCCCGAAAGTCGCATTTGTTTCCGTCGGTGGGGCAGAACTCTAATCTCCCTCTCGAGGCTTCCACAGTGCTAAGTCAGATTCGAAAAATAAAGCAAATATGTACAGAAAGGCAAGACCCTCCTCGCGCGTTGGCCGCAACGTCACGGAAATGGTGGGACGCTATTGGATGCGGAGGTGGCGGAAGGATATGTGATTCCCTTTGAGGGGCATTTGCCGCTACCTTCTTGACCTGTAACTGACTATAGGTATGTCTAATTTTTTAACTCGATAATTAACGGTAAATATTGTCATGGGAGTCGTCTATTTCTCTTCTAGTACATCGCGTGCTCAATGTTACAATTAAGAAGTAGACAAATGTTTTTTTCGCGGGTTCTGTGCTAAGAAGAATAAGTTTTTAATTAAATGCTTCGTAAAAAGAAAAAGGACTTCTTTTTATAATATACGACGCCGCCATTCTCTACCATTCCCTGCATGCCAGCACCACCTATTGCCACTCTTTTGTACGTTTGGGATGGTAACCAACTCGCCACCCCTGGTATCTAGCCACCATACCCCTGGTACAGTTGAAGATAAGTTAGGGCTGTTGGTCTCATTTTTCACAGAACGAGAACTACACCTTAAATTTTTACGAAGAAAAATCCACCACTGGAATACACTTATAATATATATATATTTTTTAGATCGTTGCGAGCAGGCGCCAATTTTTCAGGCCGTTTTTATTGCGAGCCCTGGAATTCGTAACACTTTGTGAATCCAAGTAAACGTGTGTTTTTTTTTTTGTTTTTTTTTTTATACGTGCGCAGGTTTAGTGTTTTGCATGAGCAAAGTAGTTTTTACGAGATTTGGTCGTCAGACAAAAAAGCGATGCCTTTTGAATTTGAAAAACAAACGTTATGATCCAATAAATAACTAATCAAAAATGCACATTCAAGTATATCTTAATTTGCCTTACAAAGGGGAAGGTTAGCAAAGCACCGCTCAAGAAACCAATTCCTTTCCTTTTTTTTTTTTGTTAAATGCTGTCTTTTTAGGTGAAAGCTACGCGTTAGTGCCAATAAAAGAAGTGACCAACCACCCTCTTGGAAGGACTGAAAACTAGTCAAATCTTTTGATTCACGTAACATTGCGGCTGAAATGTTGAAGATCGTTCTATCGCCAACATTGAGGTGGCACTGCAGCATCGCGAGGCATAAAATTTACATGATATAAAAAAATATAGGGGTCACTATTTCGTTATGCAAACGTTTCAGACGTACCCTGCAGTACACTGTTGCACAACATTGAGGTTTTTTTTTTCACACTTTACTTCTAAAGGATACTGGCGTACGCCAATTTTCGCCTTTGACCTTCATGCACTAAAATTGGCCCCACACTAGTAACTAATTAAAAAATTGGTTAAATAAAAAAAAAAACTAAATCAAACATATTATTAACAAACTATAATCAAGAAAAACAGCCTGCCATACCTACATTCAGAATGCGTCCATCCAATCGTTGGAATATAAGTAGGGAACAAGATAATTAACAAGCGAATCCGCGCGATAACTTCGACCTCGAAACGTGAACCAGGGCAGAAATGAACATAAAAGTCGAAGGAACGGAAGGAACAGAAAGGGACAGGACGGCGTCTCATCAGATTGAGACGTCGTCCTGTCCCTTTCTGTTCCTTCGACTTTTATGTTCATTTCTGTCCCAGTCTCAGGTATATTCAACATGGTTAACATTCACCAGCTCGCCTGCTCGAAACGCGAGTTTCGCCCGGTACCGCGCGTAAGTTAGCCTACATTTGGACAGATGGCGCTACATGTCTCAGCGAGAAGCTAGCAGACGACATATTTCCGTAACCGGCGAACCGGCACTCCCACACGGAAAACCTTGGTGGCATGCCCACACCCATTTTTTTGACTCACGGAGACGTCGTTGATAAAGGTGTTGTAGCTACAACGTAACACGTTCATTTCAACTCCATTCGCGTGGACACGGTTCAGAAGACTGTTCCTTCTGCTTGGTGCGATCGTTTCTTGGCACCATGGACGAGACCGTGAGACACATCGTCCAGCAGGCGTCGGTGACTGCGGGTCTTCACTACAGAAATCCGGTAAGTTGGTGTTGTTGCCCTTCGACACCCGTGACTAACGTCTCAGTTGAAGACCTCAAATGGCATATGCTGTGCGCGACGATAACGAAACAGTTGTAGCGTTTGCAACCTGTAGTATTTTCCATATATGGTCATTTCCTGCCAAGATACGTTTACTCTCTTTCCGAGGTCTATGGCGGGCATCTATGAAATGGTAAACAATGCCAAATCAATTATTAGTCGGCCCGGTGTTTGTCAACCAACAGGGGAAAATTCTGATCAGAGATCTTTCTTTGCCCAAATCTACACTTCCTCGACCTTGCTCATTTTTCCCCCCCTCGATGACTCCTATGTTAGAAACCAAACAAAAATTTGATATTTTATTGCTGTTAAATTGTTGATATTGAAATCGACATTAAAATCAATAAATAATGCAACGCGGGCGCTTTATCTCTTTAGTTAAGAAATATATATATATATATATATATATATATATATATATATATATGGCATTTATCCCATCAGATGTATGGTCAAACGAGCATTGAAAAATAGAAACATTACATAGGCAGGGTCGGCAACTTTTGTTATTTGTTTGAACCACCTTGGTCGCACGTTATAAACTTATTTAAGAATTATCTAAAACGGATAATTTCCACCGAAACAATGTTATTTAATATTTCAACCTTAAACAGACTGTTTCCACTGGGTCAATATTTTACAGTATCATCGAACAGCGAACTGTTTCAATGAAGTCAATACATTCTTCAAGAATGATTTACATACAACTTCCACTCAGGAAATATACTTTTGCAAGAGTAATCTAAAAGTAGGCTCTGTCCACTGGGACGATCCCTTTTTCAAAAATCCCCGAGATATTTCCAAAAATATTTACAAGGAGTTAATACATTTTCCACGATTTATCCACAATAATATGCACCAAGACAATATCATTCTGCAAAATTAATCTTAAACTGACAGTTTCCACTCTTTCCCGAGATTCACCTGAAGAGAAAATACTTACACGAAGCGACTACAGTTCACAAAATGAGTCTACAATTATTTCCACTAGGAGAATATGTTTCGCAAAATTAACCTGAAACAGGTTGTTTTCATTATTTTCCCAGATTTATCTGAAAAAAAAAAATATTTACAGCGGTCGAATACATTTCGCAAAAAAACATCAAAAATAATATCGGCTGAGTGAGTACGTTCTGAAAAATGTATCCAAAGAACGGGCTGCTTCCACTCTTTCCTAGGATTCATCCTTAAATCAAATATTTACAGGAAGCTAATACGATTGGCAAAATCATCTAAAATGATTTCCAAAACGATGCGTACTGCAAGGTTCATCTAAAAACAAACTGTTTCTACTGGCATATCTGACTGAACAGCTGATCAAAACTCAGATACCAGCTGGCAACAGATAGTCCAAAATGTACATGCTGGAGCTTCTTGTCAACTTTAAGCGGAAGCCCCGATGAAAAGACAGGTATGAAATATAGATAAAGATATGAGATATGATAAGGATATGGGATCTGGAAAGCATGCTCAAATGTGGCATACCCGAAAACTTTAACATTTTCCGAATAGAATTTATTTCACAAACCCATAAAGTGAACCCGCGATTGTCTTTCATCAACAAAACGTAGCACAAAACTTAAAAGTATCGCATTACTGCGTGACACCAAACTAACTCTAGAATATATTGAATGTTCATATCTTTACGAAAAATTTACGTATGTTCACTTCTGAATAAGATTTACCTATTTTATGAAATCACTCGACTGCGAGACGACACAAATAAATTGAACTATCACTTCATATGCTACCATTACTCCTCAATCGCTTTACTACGTCTGGAATAATAAATCTTTGCTCATGAAAATATAGCCGCGTACTATGGGCAGAAATGTAAACGTTAGTAATCCATAAGTAAACCCAAACAAAAAGAAAAAAAAAATGTTGTTTTTGTTTTGTTTGGCATATATTTTTGTGCTGGTAGAATGGGCTGCCTTTATGGATACTATACAGGGCGAATTTCCTTTTGTGCTTAAGCTTTTAGTATTTTTACTTTTTGTCTGCATGTTAAGTTTTATTTGCAAAAAAAAGGGGGAGGGGGCGGGCAAGACATTATCTGACATCTACGGCTTTAGCTCTTCGATAATCTGTGCGGGAGAATTCGGCAGACACAAATAAATAAACAAAGAAAGACTCTTGGCATTTCCGCCCTCCCATTTTTGCTTCCAGTTCAGTTGTCTGTGGAAGGTCAGATATTTCGCTAGAAGGTGTAAGTCCTCAAAACCCTGCAACATTTTTTTTTTTAAACAGTTAGGGCGCAGGCGAGCTGGTGTAAGTTTACCATTTTTTTAGACCACCTGAGACTCGGTGGAAGAAACACGACGACGTCTCAAAATTGAGACGTCGTCGTGTTTCTTCCACCCAGTCTCAGGTGGTCTAAAAAATTGTGATTTTTTTTTTTTTTTTATATTGGGGAGAAGTGTTTTTTCTGCCCAGCGAGACCAGACGGTCACGTGATGTAGCCTCCTCTAGCCGTCCGTGTTTATTTTGAGTAGTGGCTAAAATACGACACGGAGCGGACGTTGCTTCGACGAGGGAATATTTGCTTCTCGCGAACATAGGCTATTTCTGAGCTCTCCGCAGGCTGCGGGTACGAAGACGACGTGACAAAGAATCGACGCAAAGATCAAAGATCAAGAATAAGCACAAAACAAAAACGCATATCTTTTATATAAAAAATGAAACAACATATACAGTTACAAAATAGATGTATACACATCATTCCAAGTTTGTATTCTTGTTTTCACAATGATCATCCCGTCATCAACTAACTTTCCATGTAACACTACACAACTACGGAAACCCTAACGCCACCATACACGACAACGACACAGCGATAACAACAACATATATACACACGATTCTCGATGTCATTTCTACAAGTAAAAAAAAAAACTAATGAATGAACACACTAGTAATTTAGTCTACTTCTACACGTAGAACGCGTACGAATTTATTCGCTATGGCATGAGCAAAGCATGCGTTAAACATGAAATTTTGAACGACGTGTCACAAGATCTAAGGTTCATCGAGCCAACCGCTGTTTGGAAAGTTTCATTGTACGTGCAATTCCTTCAGGCACTTTTATTTTTTCTTTCATTTTAACACTTGTTCTGGAAAAAAAAAATATTAAACGCAAAATAAACATCCGTAACTGAAAGACTTCGGGGTTACTTCAATACAACAGACTTCTATTACCTCAACAAATGCCTAACAGGAGAGAAAGGCAGCGAGGCATTTACCGCCAGACATAGTCGAAAGGTCGTCGAATCGTAAATGTTTTGCGCATAGGACTGTTCCTGAATTTTCTGAACCAGTTAATTCTACACCTGGCAATCAACCTCCGGTACGTCAACCTCTGGGGAGTTTGCCACAAACTTTTTACAGTCGGCATTATCATTTACAATATGGTATAAACCTGTGCATCTAGACAAAACTCGTCCACGACAAGCAAAGACGACACGAACACGGAGTCGTTTTCGCTTCCTGCAGTCTCGGGGTTGCGTTATGTCTATTTTGACCAGCGCGTTTGCGTTCTGACATTCTGTGCATCTTCAGTGTGAACAATAGGCTCTGAGAAAAAAAAAAACAAAAAAACTCAGTGGTAAATTTGGTGACTCAATAATGATGGACCAGTCAGTGAACAACATTCATTTAAATAGGTAAAAGCCTTCTCGGTCATAAGAATATTATCTTAATGTTCTATTGTTTCAATGAGCTGTTTTCAGTTTCAAAGAAACAAAATTTCGCTATCGACAGTCAGGGCTAACTGAACTACGTTTTCATTTCACCGGATGTCTTAATCAAGTTACTTATGGTGTTAAGACGGAAGCTTGGTCGAGTTGGTGACATCTCCTTGAGGTTACATACAAACTAACACAAGAGAGTTGTAAGTCAGCGCTTGTGTCTTTTTGTTTTGTTTTTTTGTCTTTCGTTTTGTCCTCATCTCGTGCGCTTTAACCCCAAGAAAAAAAATCTCAAGAGATTTATTGTGGCCCGATTAGAGTTACTATTTCCATTGGAGAACGCCATGCATATAAGTCACGGCACAAAAATTAGCATTGCACAACAATTCGCAAATGGCATTTCTTCAAATATATCGCTGACTGAAGTTAGAGAAACTCAATTCGGCACACGTCATGTCCCAAAGACAAGCGTACTAACAAACGCATCATGATTAGACTAAAATCAATCTGATGCTTTGTGAGCGTTTGCTAGAATCCATGCAGTAACAATCGTGAACAAGGTAACCTATGTTCCGAAAAGCGAAAGCAAGAAAGAATGAACCTTTTAACGCTGTTGTCGGACTAGCCGAACAGAGAACAGACAATGTTTGCAGGCATACCAAACACACCTTGACAGCAGCAAACTTTCTCAATTGTTAGCGTCATCGACTGAAAAAACAAAACAAACTAAGATGGTTGTGAACAAGCGTGCCGCTGAAGATTGATCAAAGTCGGCCTAAAAGCTGTCTTTGTTTCTGTCGTCAAGATGTGTTGGTTGGCTGTCGACCCAGTGGAAAAAGGCGTCCGGACTATATGTTCGAACTAGTCTCTACGTCTTTTAATAATCACCATCTGTCTATATTTATCTATCTCGCTCTTTCTATCTGAAAGCCATGCGTGTTCAACCCTAATCCACCCCTTAGCAAAAGGCGATGCGAACTAAAACTACAGGTATACTAGGTAGATTTGTACTTTTATAAAACAAAAAGTAAAGTTAAAGCACATTTTATTATAACGAAATATATCTTCATAATTTAAAGTATACCTTTAGTATACTCTAATGTGCTATCATTGGCCAGATGGCTCTCTTTTTCGCCCTTTTTTGGGGAGGTTACCTAATTCCCGGCATTACGTGGTTGCAGCGGAAAGTTTAACCGAAGGTACTCATGGCTCGAAATCTTAACGTTTACTATCAAAATGTCCGCGGCCTTAGAA